TTTCCTCAAAAAGCGGCGTGAATTTCTTCTCTGTTGACAAAATACTAATTTCTTTAGTACAAAGTTCCTTGACATAGATTGTCAGCTGCCTCTTGTTAGTTCAGAGCTTCACTGAATGATCGCACCTGCTCCTGGGCAGGCCCGTATAAAATTACCATTATCGAAATACGGGGAAATCACCGACTTCTACCTCAGACGCCAGCTCGCATTGTCATCACAAGCTAATGCAGAAAGCTGAGTAAAAACGTCTTGAACGCCTTCAAGGTTCAATTCAGGGTGTGCCAGGCACTGGATGCAGTTGAAACATGGAGTAAAAACCCTGAAATTCGTAAGGAAAGGTTTAATTGCGTTTGGACAGAGGTAAATGTGACAATTTCTTGAATACTTGATAATTCTTTCTCCAAGTAACAATCTTTGTGAATTGTGTGTTGCCTCTTTTCCAGAACACACTTGTTTGACAAAAAACTACTGGTAGAAGAGGTGATGTTTCGTTGCAGTTTCTACCAATAGCTCTCCCAACTTTCTTCTTTGAGTATTTTGCCGCCTCAACACAATTAATTTTGCTCAGTCAAAGTGACTTCAAAAAATAGCTCAAAGAGTGATGTTGATTGAATTTGTTTAATTTTTGTTATTATTATTTGAAAATAATGGTTGTGATAATTTTAATGATTTTGTTTTATATGTTTTGTTTTTTTATTTGTGTGTGTGGGGGCGCGCGCGCGCGTGCGTGTGTGTGCGTGCGTGGGCGCGCGTGCGTGTGAGAGAAGCACTTCAGTTTTCTTTGCTCATAAAGAAATACTATCCTAAATATGACCTCAGTCCACTATTTCATTGACGTTGATAGAAATACGTGATGAAAAAACATGTTTTCAGGATGCATCTGCCAGTTGCTGGGCACCTCACTGTTGATGTGTGATCTTTTACACACCATGCATTTTTCACTCACTTCATCAGTCTGAAGGCAAACATCACACAACACCACAGAGCTTTACGGCACTGAATAATATTTAGTGTGGAATTAGATCTTAAAGGACACAATATAAAGCCATTTGTTTCACCCCATAATTCTCCACAAAGCTTGGTTTAGAAAATAATGCAATTCTGATATACAGTCAACTCCAGTTATAGTGAACTTTGATATAGTGAAACCGGGTATAGTGAACTTAAGTTACTGGTCTCATTTCCACTTACATTACAAATAAGCATAAGATTCAGTCATTGTGAACCTGAACATCGGCTTAAGTGAACGTAGCAAATACAATGTCCTGGAAATTAATTCCCTTCTGGAAAAGAATATATTGCCTAAATGCCACAAATTCCACGACTAGGCGGCTTGAAAAAATATCGTTGGTCTAAGTTCATAATTGAAGATGTCTCGCTTGAGGTGAAGGTAGTAGATCTGGAATGGGGACCTTATTCATGATCTTATGCCCCTGAAGTTCCACAGCAGAAACAAAGGACAGGTTCTGCGTGCACTACAACTGGCGGCAATGATGCGCATTAGCTTGATTCAATTTTAAGCTTGGTGTTACTTGATATTCTGCAGGACAGAGCACATTAAATTCTATGTAGGTGACAGGAAGCACGCGACTGCCACAGCCTGGTGATATGCGCCATGCCATGTGAAAAGCCATCAGTTTCAGTAGCCGCTTGCACCATCCTGCTACCGAAAGCATCTCGTATGTTATTAGGAGGGAAAAAGGGCCTTCGGAGAGTGGGATAGTGTTCCAACAGATCAAGAGGCATTAAAAGGCATCAAGACTGCATTACAATACTTAGAGATGGGATAATTCACAATCAAGTATGGAGTATGAACACTGGAAAAGGATCTAGAGAAACTGCCAATGAAAAATAGATCAAGCAAACAATTTAAACTAATTTATTTTTTAAGGACAACTATAGATTTTGAAACTGGAATTCTGGAAGTTTGTGCTGTTTGCTATATCTCTATATTAATAAAATCAATAATTATGAAGATTTTCTATTTAATTTTGACATCAAATATAGTGAACCTCTGACATAGTAAATCAAAAATGTTAGTCCCCAGAAGTTCACTATAACCGGAGCCACCAGTGCTATACACATTCCAATAGATAAAGATTACTCGAAGATGTGATATTCCTTTCACTACTATCTACCATGGACAAGTGGGACAGCAACTACCTCCTTTCAGAGATAAAGAAAACGCTATGAATTTAACTCTCTCAACCCGAACACACATCCGGCTTCCATAATAACAAACAGTAATCAAGAGTTTTGTTTCATTCAGAAAATTTGAGGTATAAATAGTTATTTTAAATTTTACAAAGAAAATACACATAATTTTCTAAAATTGCCTTGCTTGGCAGTGCACTAATATATGAGACACCAGTACAAGTAAGTAAAATGAAACTCAGCATATTGAAACAAACCTTTTCTGATGTTTATTTCATAATTTTAGTTTGTTTTAATAGTCACCATTTAAAACCCCACGATTGAAACAGAAGGTACTAAAACCCAAAACCCACAAATCCTCTTTCTTATCCACTGTTTAAATGAAAACTTAATGTGCAGCACAGGTACTGGACGTTTAAAACCAAAAAAAAAAAATAAATAAATAAATAAATAAAAAAAAAAAACACTCTCAAAATATAATTTGAAGGCGAATCTTCTCAAATCATCCCACATGCAATAATAAATCTTGCTTCATTCCTGCATCTTGAAAAACTTTTCCTCTACTGTAATTATCATATTTATCTGAATATAAGACAAAGTTTTTTCCTAAATCTGTCAAGAAATGCAGGGTTGTCTTATAATCGTCTTATATTCAGAGGGGCTAAACAGTCAGATATCGCAGCGTGGAATGAGAACCAAAAATAAAGAAACATACATGTGAAAATAATGATAGTAGTGACAAAAACCATGATTATGGTGATTTTAAGGAACAACAAAATGATTGTTTAGCAATTAGTTTAAAACATTCTCATCAAGAAAGCAATTTTCTAGTCATTTTAATAAGACAATTAGCAATCTTATTTTGACTAAATAGTAATCTTATTGTGACTAAACATTATGATCTAGTTAAAAAAAATTTAAAATTCTAAAGTCTCTTCAAAATTACAGGGTCGTTTTTTATTCCGAGTTGACTTCAGGTAAATAGAGTAAATTTTTTTAAGCACACCGTATCAGCAATGTATCAACAACAATGTTCAATTACAACATATTTTTATTTTCTATAAGATTTTGATGGCGATTGAAGCAATTATTACAAAATAGAAGTTGTTTCCAAATTCTTGCAATGAAGAAATTTTAATAGAGAGGATGAGGTACCACCAGTTAAATTATATCAAAGCCCAAAAGCAAAGTATTGAAAATAAATACTGAACACAATCCACCACATATTTAACAATTCTCTACATGCTCGGGAAATTGCACACACATTAGGGATTTGTGAGGTCTCAAAGCTTGAAGATCACAGTTTTAGTCTGCAGAAAAACTAAGGATTGAGACCAGATCATAACAGTCATTCATTAAATCTCTACTAACGTACAGAAACGAGAACATTTAAATGAGTGAGCGTGTGTTCAGGCACGCGTGCATGCACACACAAACTGTTTACTAATTATTTTATTTTTATTCATTGAATTGGCAGATGTGTATTCCGCAGATTATAAGGTCTAACAAAAATTATCATGACAAGAATAACTCAAGTTGATGATTTCCAAATCAACATTTTTTTCTGTCAAAGAAAATAGATTCAAAAAAGATTACACGAAGTATAAGAGACTTTTCTCAGCTTGCTGTTTGTTGTTTTTGATCCTCTCTATTTCTCAATCTCTTTCATAATTTCTAATGATCACAAACTTACATATTTCCAATAAAATATTAAAATTTTTACAGAATTAAAATATGCAAAGCTATACCCTAATTAAAACAGAACTCCTTTCAAGGTCATAAGCTGGTAGGAGAGTGGGACATTCATCAAATTGCGAGCTTCATTATGACTTAAATTTTTGGTATTGAAGCTCCTGATTTGATGAGTGACCCCCTCTCTTAAGCTAGTGACCTTGAAGGGGCTGTGTTATAAACAAAGAATACGGAACATGCTTGATATATTTTGGAAACAACAACAATCATAACCATTTCTGAACACTTTGCATTAGGTTCACTACCATGGAATACATTCTATGTGAAAGTCACAACATCAAGTGAACTCAGAAACCACTGATTAATTATGCCAGATCAGTAACATTCTTTGCAAAGGTAATGAACCTGTTCCTGTGCATTTTTTAAGCACGGTCATTTAGCATTATCTCACAAGTTTCAAAGAATTTCAGCAGAACGAAAACTTCAGCAATACACAATTCAGAATCTCGCCTACATAACAAATACAATTTATTGCAGGTCGGATAAACCAATAGATCCCTCCTAAGAAAAATCAAGAGAGTCAACTCAGGAACAGTAATGCAACATAATAGATGTCGCTCTTTCCTGGAACCATGAATCAGAGGTGAGCAATAATGAAATGATAAGAGCAATAGAATCTCAGAATAACAGGCAGAGGCGATTACTGGAATGTGCAATGTTTTTAGTATAGATGCAAAGCAAACTGTTGTGTTGATGTGAAAATGACACCCATGACCAAAGTAGGCAAAAAGTTCATTTAATATCGATGTTCAATATATTTTTAAACACACATGTACTAAATGAAACATTTTCATCTAAAAATGATGAAAGACATGTAAAGAAATAATGATTCTCAAACGCATACAGGAAAATAATATTGTAAAACAAAATGCTGCCAGTGCCAAAATTACACCTTTGGGTATTCTAATGTTAAGAACATGTTCCATCATTTAGACAATAAAAAGAAAGCAGATTGAATTAGGACACTTTTCAAAAAATTAAAGACAGAATTCAAACACTACTTTATTCATGTTGAATTCATAAAAAAAACAGACAAATTTTTTTTTTTAAATCTAAAGAACTTTTCAAAAAAATGTGTCAATAAAATGTCCTACCTGTTGTAATAATTTGAGTCTGTGCTGGAAAAGTAGTCCCTGGTACAGAAGCCGGAGGATGGTGAAAAATTTGCAGTACTTGATGATTACCAGCTTGAAGCATTGCTGCACCTCCCTGAGGAACTACAGGAAACTGCTGTGTGCCAGACAAGGTAAGCCCTGCCGGTAAGGTCTAAAACAAAAACATGCCATTACATGTAGAATTGAAATTAAGTAACACAAATAAATATCTGATTATTTAATACAAACCTGATGAACAACTGTGGCTTGACCAGGAGTCGGCGTGGTTGAACGAATCACTGGACTAGGAACAGTACGATGTTGTGGTGATGGAGAAGGAGCAGGAGTTAAAGTTGCAGAGGTCAAGTTACTCCCTGGTGGAGCAGGTGATCTAGTAGGTCCATTTCCTGTGAGTACTGATGACTGAGGAGACTGAATGCTGGATGAAAGGTGTGACGTTAATTGGGTGCTCTGCACATTCACTCCCGAGTTGGCATTCAGGTGATTTAATATTGCACTTGCAGAAGATATACTTGAAGTATTCAATTGTTGGCCTAAACTACTACTTGAACTCTGTACACTGTTTGAAGATGAATTGGTTAAAACAGTTGTTTGCGAGGGTTGACTTTGACTAGCAACACTTAGTGAGCATGTCTGAATATTGACACCATTGTTATGTGAAAGAATAATTGACTGAGGACTCTGAAGATTAGCCAGTGAAACTTGAGGAGAGTGGGAGTTTCTACTTTGTGCAGACAGATGAGCAGCATTTGGTACTGTTCCACTTGTTCTCTGAGGCAGCACCACAACAGATGGATTAGAGGTTGACTGAATGTTTCCAAAAGCATCCTTGAAAGAATTACTAGGAGTAGATGCAGAGAAAACAAAACTGCCAGTTTGCGAATTAGAATTGTTACTACCTTGACTGGCACTTGCAGATTGTACAACAGATAAATTTGTAAAAGAATCCTTCATCAAATTGCCAGGAGTATTTGATGATGAATGAACGAATGAAGTAGAGTTTGAGGATAACTGATTTTGTGGCGACTGCAGTGGATTATGATAAGGAGACAGAGCAGGAGATGGAGGATGAGGTGGCACTGATGCTGGTGAACGTAAAGGAAGAGGGCTGGGAGAAGGAGTAGGAGGGGCATGAGGAGCAGGTGATCGAGTGGGTACTGAAAACGGTGAACCTGGGGAAGAAACAGTATGAGTTGATGTAGGAATGGGAATACCGGTGGAAGGAAATACAGTACCAGGGCCCACAAGAACTCCAGACGAACTAAGAGAGCCAACAGGAATCCCACCAGATCCAAAAATTGTACCAGTGCCAACATTGGCCGAAACAGATGTAGCAGAACTTATAGGAATATTTGATATCCCAGAAGTGTTAAGAGTCAGTCCTGATGGTCCTATAGTAATCCCAGAAGAACCAACAGGCATGCCTGAGCCTCCAATTTGTAGGCCTGAAGTCCCAAGAGATATTGTTGCGGAACTACTTACAGGAACACCAGATCCAACAACAGAAGTTGAAGGTCCAACAGCAACTGCAGATCTGACAGCAACCCCTGTACAAGAGTTATGTACACCAGGCACAGCAGTCACAGGAGTGAAAAGAAAGCCCTGGTGAGAAGCAGACGACACAATAACTGCCTGTGTAGGCGTGGTTGTAACCAATGTAACAGATGAACTAGTAGGTTCACTGGCGGAAGCTTGATGAGGAAATGCAGTAAAAACAATACTCGGAGGAATGATGCTCGATGTTGTTGATACAGTGGTGGCAGAAGCAACAGAAGAAACTCCCTGTTACAAAGAAAGGTATTTACAAGTTAAACCAAAGGAGATACAACCTGTATACTCACATTCAACTATATGTACTTCATAAATATAATGAGTTTAGGGTTACATAGGAAAATACAAAAGAAATCAAATACTAAGTAAAACTTTGATGTTCCTCTATTTCTCAGTTAAAGGTCTGCAATAACTTGGCATAAAATAACATGACATTTATTTACAAATGAAAAAATTGTTGTGCATGCATAGGCAAAAATAGAAATTGATCAAAATGACAGTTACAATTCTATGTGATCCCAAACTCCAGCATTATAGACTATACAATATATGGAATTCAACACGTACAGTAGGAGGCACTGCAAATAGGGACTGATTTCCTGGTGTGCCACTGTGGAAGTTCTGTTCTTGTTTGTCCTGTTTTCCTTGCTGTTCTCGCTGATCAAGGCTGTGCAGATGCTGAGGTTGACACAATGAGCCCTTATGTTTAAGATGCTCTTGTTCACACGATTTATCTTTCTGTAGGCACTGTTGATCTTGGTGTTGCTCTGAATTCTGAGAAACAGGGAGGGATGAATTTGAAGGTTGTGTCGACACGGGTACAACCAGAGATGATGGTAAATATGTTTGTGATTGTGAAAGTGGAATAACTGTAGGAAGAGTTGGAGAAGACGGAGTTGAGGCACACGGCGCTTTTGATGGAACTGAACTAAGAAGAGAAGATACTTGTGATGGAGGAGGTGAAGGAGATGTAGAGGGTAGAGGTGGAGCAGAAGGTGAAGGAAGTGTTGATGGAGGAGGTGGTGGTAGAGAAGGTGGTGGTAAAGGAGGCGGTGGTGGCAGAGGGGGTGGTAACAAAGGTTGAACCAGCGATTGTCGTGGAGGAGGAGGCAAAGTAGTTTGGGGTGATGATGGAGTATGGGGAGAGGATACAATTCCTGTAGTCACAGGTGATATGTGACCTGGTAGTGGAGATGGTGTATTAGTTGTCAATGGAGGAGTATGTGAAGACTGTGGGGGAGCTTGAAGTGGAGGAGTGTGAGGCGGAACAGGCAAAGGAGGTGGGGGTGGTTTTGGTGGAGGCGGTGGTAGTTGCAATTGCTGTAGTTTTTGTTGTTGTTGTGGTTGTTGTTGCTGCTGCTGCAATAAAGATGGAGATTGCTGCACCAGTTCCTTCCGATGATGCTGTTGTTGGTTTTGCCTCTGTTGTATATGTATTTGCTGAGACGGAGTCTGTGGCTGCTGAAGTTGTCTCTGTTGCTGCCGATGTTGAATTTGCTGGGCTTGTAGTTGATGTAACTGCTGAAGCTACCAAGAAATGAAAAGATCTCAATATTAATCCAAATATAAACAATTTTTGTAGCACTGAAAATAAAATAACCACAGCAATTCCAGTGGAATAAGTGACAATAGACTAAATTGGAATTATACATTTTATACTTCAAACATTAAATTTGTTTATATTTTTAATAAGGAGTATTGAGATGGACTGTTGATGTAATGCAATGCATTTTTTAACACAAAATCTTGTTTAAACTAAATTCAAAACAAAAACCAATAGTGTTTTACCTTATTTTCTTCCGTCATAATACTCTAATATGTGGACGTCCCAGGGGCGGTTTCTGGCTTGGTTGCCAGTTTATGCAACCATCACTTTTAATTCTTCAATTCTCAAATTCATTGGCACATTATTTTAATGTATGATTATTTCTCCAACAGATTATTTATTCAAGCAGCAACTTGTTTAAAGCTTCCTGCTTTTTTGTTTCTGCTGATGTGGTTTGCAGACCGTCTGCAAACCAAGCTGCCAATCAAATTCTCCATCATTTTTCATGTGTGTGCATCTCCTAAGCTTTGTCAATGTCTCAAGATGTGATGTGGTTCATGACCAACATAGTTTGCAAACATCATTCCAGCCAGTGTACATCATTAATTAGTTTGAGATTCAATTTCATTATGTCAATTTTATGGGACATAATTACAACCATTTACAAATTGTACTACAAACCGTCACTGGGACGTCCAATTTCATTGACTTTGATTGTCACCGAGTCAAGAAGCAATCAAGCCATACAGGAACATACAATAGTTAAAGCAAGTTACCAACTGATTTTCCTTAATTTCTATAGTTCCACTGCATTGCAAAGATGTGAACAAAATTATCTTGCATTACATACAAGGAAATTAGCTCATTTGATAATTATACTTTCTAGAACTAAATAAAATACACTAACATCATGGATCGAGTGCCCTCATAGACAATTGTTATGTTACCAAACAAGAATAACCTTCTTCCTATTCTTTTCTTCTATTGATCGATTCCCATCTCCAATTCTAGTTTCTGCATTTCTTCCCTATTTTTACCTCCCATCTACTTTTAACAGTGATGCCACGGTAACATTACACACCTCTTATTTGACAGAAATATAATCTCCTCTATCTTAGAGCAGTTTGGCAATCAATTTTGAGTCACTTAAAATTAAATACACTCCAAAGTGTCTGAGAAACGTAACATTCAGCATTATTATTATTAGTAGTAGTAGAAATAATAATAATAATAATAATAATAATAATAATAATAATTTTCAAAAATGGTTTATAAGACTGATACAAAAATCAGATCCCTCGATTGGAGGAGCCTATTTTAAAGTTTCAAAAATATTTGAATCTAATTATAGACACATCAACTATTGAAGATTGAGAAGAGCAATTCCTCCAACTAAGTCGCAAAACAACAATGCAGTGCAGACAACAGAACCATGTGTCAATATTTTTATTCTAAAATTGTTTGTTTCAGCTTCAAATGATTTCAGAAATTGACAGTGTGTTATTGATCCACAGCATAAATTGGTAAATTAATAATTGTTTATGCCAATTAACAGAACCCACGAGACATTGAAGGAAACTATAGCTATACTTTTTATTTAAGGACACGTAAAATTAAAATAATAAGTTCCAAATCATTATTTTCTTCATTCATTAACAGAATTTGTATTTAAGAAAGTGGAATGTCTATGGACATATAAAGCAAATTAAGAACAAAGCAACAAATTTCAACAAACTCTTCATCATTAAAAGATGCAAATATACTCTCATATAACATTATCATATTAATACACATTTTAACTTTTCCAATTTTCTCAAACATTTCTTTGTATGTTTCCTCTATGTTCCACAATCATTGCACATGTATAGTAGTAACTGTTAATTACATATGTATGTTTTATTTATATTAATAATAATAATATTAATTTTCATGCCGACTGGGATTCAGGATTTATGAGCCAGAGAACTTAAAATGCTATTAAACATATTTACCTAAATACTCATTGCAGTAAACAAAAGAGCAAAAATTTCTTCTTTTACACACATCTTACTCAACAGAACAAAATTGTTAATTTTCGAAACCACTTTGTCTTCAAACACTAATGTACAATCTTATTTGTTCAACAGCTCAAAACACTTTTATTTTTAAAATAAATATTAAGGCACAGCCATGTTACTTTATTGAAATTCCTAAACACAACTCAATAAAAATTCTTTAAAACTCACTCACAATCAATGTATGTACATAATTTTATTAAACCTAAAGTGAAATCAAATTACGAGGACTTCAAAAATTTAGTTAAAACATTTTCCCACCTCACATTAATAAAATACTCTCAATTTAAGAAAAATTAACACGTATCAGGCAAAACTGAGTGCAATTAATCAATCAAGAATGACTATACAACAAATTTCATGGTATCTTTTGCAATGCTTAATATATCACCTTCTAATATATTTCAACATAAAATAAGAACACTTTTAAATAAAGCATAACTTATTGAAAATACACATTAATTAAAACAAATGGACAATATTTCTCATAATAAAAAAATAATTCCCAAAAAATTATGGACAAACAAATTTTGATAGCCTGATTGCTCTAAATCATTGCAGGTACAAAGTCCTAATAAATATATCTTAAATTCACTAGTATCAAATACTATACCAACTATAATAATTCAACTGAAATACTTTTTAAATGATATTGCAGTATTGTTTAACTACAAAAAACTACTGAGAAAATAAAAAGAGAGAGAGAGAAAAGAAGAAATGTTTAAATGTTAACAATATTTAGAATCTACTGCAATTAAATCCCAAAATATATTAAATTCATAACATCTCAAGAACTACATTTTACAGTGCAAAAGATAATAATCACGTTTGTACCTTCCAGGCAATTAATGGCACATTCAAAAAAAAGTGACTGAACTAAAACAAATTTTCCTCCATATTACACAGCAAGACTCGGAGAAAAATGCAAGAATAAACAAGACGTATTCTAGTAGCATTTTAAACTGGATTGCATGTTTTAAAACAATTTGAAACAACAATGCAATAACAGTATAAAAAAATTATGCAAATTAGTATAATGTTAATAAAACTATGTATTTCCCATTACTTGTATACATTTTCTAGTACATTTTTGTTTGTGAAATTCTATGTTTGTTTTTCTCTCACATTAAAGACAGAGTCCATTTCAAATATTTTCTTGGAAAATCATCAAGCAGTTTCATACAATTTTCAACCACAATTCAAGATTTCATCATGCCTGATTTTCTTAAAGCATCAATATATCTGAAAATGCACAAAAAGTAATATATCTTAATGTAAAGCCATTTCACCGAGTCAAATCAGATAATTATGGTTACATGATAAGGTTTTAACTATTATCTGTCTCCATATAAAATACATTTACATCAATACTTAAATAGAAAGAAACTAGAACACTAAATACATATAACATTCAACATTTTTTAAAACTATAAGTAACGTAACACAAAATGTACAACTTACTGCTTCTGAGTTGAGGCCCAGAAATGACTCGAGGGCAGACGGATCACTGAAAAGAAAAGAACATGCATAATATGACATTCAATAAATTCAAAAACAACATACACTGAAAAAAATGCTAAATTAACACTCTTCATTAACTGAAAATCAGCAATGTTTTTAAAAATAATGGAGAATTTTCATTTCAAATAAAACCAAATTTACCACACAATAAATATCCCATCACAACTATTTCGCATGTGTATTCAACATATTGAATATGCTTCGTTCACACCTAATTTTTCCAACATAATCTTTCATAAATTATTACAATCTTCAAGACCTTCAAAAATATTCTTGAAGATATAACGGCTTCTTAATTTAAACCGTTTATATTCACTTTTGTGTCAAAATAATCACTGTTTTTTTCTATCTACACAAACATTCTGGTCTTTCTTTCTGGATTCATCTTGTGTCATTCAATGCATTTCACAGAAGTGGTTTGATTTTTTTTAAAATCTTATTGAAATTTTCTTTCCTTTTAAATTGAATTAAGACATTTACTAAATTACGAGAAGCATAGTACAAATTATCACCATATCAACATGTCCTTCATAAAATGTATAACCATATAGTAGCTTATTAGATCTCACACTCCAATGAGAAAGCAGAACTAAGGGTTGCGATTTTTAGAAGAAACATGCTGGAAAACAAAGCATGCCTAGATACACAAACTACAGCACGAAGACTACCTCTATAACATTTTCCATCGATCATTCAGTTTCCAAAAAAATGATTTTTTAAATACGTACTCAATCACATCAAGTAGTTTTTGTGATCCATCATCCATTTCAGCCTCAACTTTACCCCGTACAATGGCACCAGGTGATGGCAAAAGCCATCGCAGGGAAATCAATTTTCAGCAATTGTTTAAATCTTATTTTGCTTGTTTTCTTCACTAACTAGATTACCAGTGCTTGCGCATTCAAAAGTTTTGGGAAGGTGGAGTCTAGCCTAACCCATTATAATGAAAATCAGTGGAACTTCAGGGCGGAACAGAACTGTCTGAAAACATCCCTGAAACACAAACGAAATTTTCTTATCAGGTTTTAAATGCTCACATCTACGATATCACTATATGATAGGTAAATAGCACGCTCACAGTTCGATGTAAGTGTCAAGTTAATTTCTCAGCAACTTTCCAAAACTTGTAAGTATACAACTGTTAAATGAAATGAAAAAACTAATTTTTTAAATAAATATTTACAAAAAATAGATGCCAAATAATCATTCAATATAAAAAACAATCTGTATGAAATAACTGCAAATAAACAATGGAGAGAAAAATTAAGACTATGCTAATCCCTAACTTCACTAACAATATGAAAACATGATGACAAAGTCTTCCTAACGAGCTCTACAAACCCAGAATGAAAATGACACACTACTAATACTCTTCTGGGACAATAATAGAAGGTTTGAAAATGTAACACAATTTGATTTTTACAATATTTTTAAAAATGCTATTATTTTACTCTTTTACGTATTTAAAGGATTTTTCTGATACAGACAGTAGTTATTTCCATTTTGGTAGCTATTTCATATTCATCATAATCTATTTAAAAACATCCTTCAAAGAAAATTGCAATCACAAATCTTTAAATATTCCACTTATTTAAAATACCAAAAAACGTAGGACACTTCATCACCCACATGAAATTACAGCACTTGAATAAACCATTTGCATCTAGGGTACAGGCATGATTTACTCCTTAAAACTTACTACATAGGAACTTTTTTGTTTTTTAATTGAGAACTAATGAATAATATTTCTTCCCTAATCTCTCTCAGCTCTAATCAAGATTCCAATACTATCAATGCTTGTGTTGAATTACACTATCACTACCATAACATTGCATCATTATGCAGCACTCTGAACATACATTAGTGCGAAATACCATACTCAAACAGGTAGTCTGAATAAAGAGCATGCTTTGATACAATACCACTCATATACAAATAACTATAACACAAAACACCGAAAGTTCAGAGCAAGTTCAACTGTCAACAAGAAAGAAAAGTAGTTTTGGTGTCAGTTTGAAAATGCAACAGAAAATAAAGCTAACAGAAATAGCGTATTTGTTAAAATCTTACTTAGTTTGCCCGGAATTTGGGTTAATCAAAGTACCATTTGGACGGCCTTCTCAATATCTTCTCAGAAACACAAACATAATGGAGCCACAACTAACACGTAATGCAACCATTACACCAAATTTGTTTGTATTTCTTGGTTCACCACACGTACGGTAATTTCACGTTAGAAACTTATAAACCAAACGCCACAAACGTCATACTGTCTATACAATACTGATATAACTAAGTGCTACACTGAATACACAACACAAGTCGTTCACAATATTCCTACAGCTCGTATAACGATTTAAACATTTATCGCAGGAGCAAGTCCGATTATCGTCACTTTTTACACAAACGAACATTACTTACACTTATAATATTAGAAATATTTATCATAATTACACGGAATGCGAGTGCCACCTACCATGGCAACCATTTTTAATCACGCGTTCAATGCTGCTAACACAACCGTGCGAATATTACCTCGCGACCCAGACTTCCCGCACATCTTTTTACCACCCTTCGATACAATCGTACGTTTCAAAACATACGCGCATGTTACACATCTTCGACAAAGTTCAATGAAAAACATGATTGTCCAAAGATATTTCCTTTTCATTCACCTTTCACCCGATATTCGAAGAATTTTATTCATTCTGAAGATATACATGAATCGGACCATGGAAATTCACCACTCATACTCTGATTTTTTAAAAAGTGTTTCTAAATAGTTCGTAACATTAAAAACCTACAACCTACATACATATTATAAAAATTATATATAATTTAAATTATTAGTGTATTATTTGTATATAATTTAAAAACTCTGCACACTCAAAAGTAGTCCTAGCTTATGTTAATGAGAAGAAAATTGACTTCCATGAAAGCATCTCGGTTGCTGATTTTGGCTGTACAATCACATGTATTTTATCCAAACATTCTCGAATTCCCTCACATACTCTTTCTAATGAATAGTAAGTTATATATGTTCTAAAGTGTTTTACTTCCTCATCTACCAACGTAGAAAAGAGAAAGTATTGTAATGGTGCACCAAAAATCGGCAATTTTTCGTAACGTAAACGTGTTCTCAAATCAGCAAACTTTTTCCTTTTTTACTAAAATTTGTCAGATTATCATTAAACCTCTGAATTTTTGAAAAGAGTAAATGTTCATCTTTCCTTTTAAAGCATCAGAAAAGTTACGCTGACTCTAACCGGTTGCTGTAGTGGTTATACTACTATTGCTTCCCGAGGTGTACACAAGTACGAAATTCAGCGTAAGGAAACAGTTTTTCGGGTTACCTTCGAGAGTTAGGGACAAGAAAAAAAATTAAAAAAACATTGTAAGTTTCGATTTTGACTTTAAAATGCAAACATTTGATTGTGTAATTCCCCCTATTCTCATACCGCGCGCACCGGCTGAATTCTCATACTCTCTGCGTCAATACTTACGACAGAGTCGACGTCAAACGGCAGCAAGGTTCCAAGGAAGAAGCCGTTCACCGTTAAATATTTGCGATTCACGAGTTGAGTTATGTTCCAACAACATTTTTATATCCCTAATATGTGAAGAACTGTTGTACTGTACATAGCCTATACTTTACTGTGTTATTACAGTATCGGAAGACTGGTTTTGCGAAAATATTTAATTTATAGTAGTGTTAAACTAGAGAATTGTATTTGCTACAAGTGGGCCCAGCAATGCTTCGCTAATCCAGTGTATTGCACATCACACACTACAGGTCACGTGATTGTAAATCACGGTTAACAGTACGCTGTGCAAAAATTTTAATAGATGAATGCTTCTCGCAAGTATGTTTTTTTTTTCTACATCCTGGTTAGACATGGTTGTCAAGTATCCCATTGATGAAACGTTCAAATTTGGGCATGCGTTCGCTATAACAATTTTATTGGAGAAATATGATTTACTTGTCTAAGAATCAAGTAATAATTCAGGCCCATATTTCACAATTACAGGTGCAGAATACTTGTATGCAGAGCTTGACTGTGCGAGGAGTTGCATAGAGATCATAGAGTGCTTGGGTCAACAGTAACGAATAAATCATTCATCACCACTAACGCCCGAATATGTCCAGTTTAATTCAAAAAATACTCTTTAAACGCTCTTTATTACTAATAATAACAAATAAAGTGTAAAAATTTCAGCGAAATCGATCGAGTAGTTTATGCGTCTACATGCAAAGTACATACGCACACGCACGCGCGCACACACACACACACACACACACATTATATATATATATATATATATATATATATATATATATATATATATATATATAAAGAAATAACTAGGGGTGCTGCAAAAGCACATACTTTTCGCATTATTCGTAACGTAACCGTTACGAATAATGCGAGAAGTATGTACTTTTGCAGCACCCCTAGTTATTTCTTGAGCAGCAATTCGTTTCTGTCGGCGAGGTCTGCAAACTGAACTGTCGACTTTCCATTACAATATTTTTCATGAGCACCCAAGTTTCGTCAGCGTCTCGCACGCGCTGTAGTCCTATCAAGTGATAGGTAGGGGGAGTATAAAACATAAAAGTTGCTTCTCTCTATCGTTTTCCATGGTTTATAAGATGCTGAATCTGAATTTAAACTTTGATGTTTAGAAAAAAACGGCAAAAAATTGCCCTTTTTAGAGTTGCCGCTTTTAACATGAAAATTTGCACTTTTATTTACAGATGTTTTTATACAAAAAGTCATTACATTTCCTTGAATTGTTCCTGAAGTATTTTTTGCTAAACGAACGGTTTAGGCGCTAGGACGCGCTGCATTTTAATATACATTGGACAAAGCGGCTGAGTAAAGACCAACTCAATTTTTTCGGGGTGTCATTTTCACAGAAGGTTCCTTTAAAACATTTCATTTCGTTAATATGTAATTAAATAATTATTCAGTTTAATTAATGATTAATTTTTAATCACTGTCTTAAGTGAATTACGAAATCTTTTGTTGAAAATATTAAATTTAAGACTATTCTGAAACTAGGGTCCACTACTTTATGGAACACCAAATCTGCTTCAGCGGAACTATGATGAGGTAACGTAGAAGAAATTTTATGCTTTTAGCAATTGGTTGTACGTCAAAAACCCCAAAGGTAAAAATATATACAAAATCATTAGTAGAAGGGGATGAAACGGTCGGAAGGGTTCCATTAAGAATTTTAGAAAGAACAAATAATGTGAACGTAAACAGTAATGAATATCAAATATCTCAGTGAAATGTTCACATTCGCATGAAATGTAGATCATTCTGACCGTAACATTCTATGATTTTACTGCAAACATAAAAACCTACAGATCAATGGTGGATGAAATGTATTCAAGGAAGAAGTAATAAGAAACGAGCTACAAAAAAAACTCATTTTTTGTAGCCAGCCTTTGATCATGACTCGTCCAAGAGAGTGCAATACAATATATACAGTTTCGGTATCAGATGTACAAAAGACTATATTAAGCCAAGCAACCCAAATAATGACATATGATAGTCCACTATATTTGAAGATCGATTATTTCGAGTTTCCGGGTGTGTCAACTACTAATGAAGTGAATATTTTATCACGGGAGGGGCGGTGATCTTCCCGCACTCTTTCATTACTTCTGACGTCGACCTACACATCAGCTTGCGAGCGTTTCCCTAACCAGGTACCTTCCACAAGCGGGACACCGCCCAGCCGGGACAAGCTCTAAGCTCCGATTGGTCTCTCCGGATATGTGTGATAGTGTAGTGCATACACGTGTTAGCAAGGGGTAACGATATACATATATATATATATATATATATATATATATATATATATATATATATATACGGAATGAGATGGAATTACATAAGATAAGATAAGTACATATAAAAACATTCGTACTAACTACATATTAATTATTTTACCTGAAATATCGATTAACGCATTATTGCAGAACGTTAATGCCCATAATCCAGATACCCAATTCGCAATCGAAGTATAACATGAATCATGCATCCATTTTTTTTAGGTATAACCATTCTTTACAAATAAAACTGTTTAATTAATTGGTATGCAAAACCTGTATATGCTGGACTGGCCCTAATTTTTTTGTCATGCCATCCTGTGGCATGAAGAGGGCTGTTGACTATAATCTTGTTGACAGAGCTTTGAAATTCTCTGCACCACTATTTCATTATAGTTTATTTATTTATTTACGTCAAAAACAGTTAAAACCCATGTGTGACGTGCTATGAGGACAAGTTAAATTGAAGTTACATTTATGTCCAGAAGCAAAACAAAGGGCTATCTCAGCATTTGCTCAAGGATCAGGGAAACTGGAAGAAAACCTGATCGAGATGAGGGTCATTGACATAGAAGCTGAAGTACAATACTTTTACAAGTTCTTTAGAATTATATAATCCAAATGGTAAATAATACACTAAATATCGTTGTTAAAATTAATATTACTTTCCTTTTGGATACTTGGTATAGTTCCTATTTGTATAGAAAAAGTTGCGCAGCAGAAAATATTTTACTTGGAACTTAAAACTTTTGTATGGAATTTAATTATTTAATGTCATCTGGCAAGGTTGTAAAATAATGTACTTGTATTGTGTGTGGATTTTTTGTAGTGAGCTGTTGATACCGTCACCTGATAAATATGATTACTACGCCGAGTGTTGTAGTTATAGATATCAGCGTTTGCTGAAAATATATTCTCCCCTTAAGTAAGTCATTTTTAACATAAACCACTGAAACATACATCAAGAGACAAGGTAATGGTAAGATACCTAGATTAATGAAGAGAGGTTTACAAGGAGCACGTGGCTTAACGTCTATACGTAGCTTGGCGAGTTTTTTCAAACAAATTGGCGGGAAATTCAGTTTCCAAAAACAAGATTCGATATTTTGTATGTTTTATTTCTGAGGTGACGCCTCCCAAAAAATTATACAAATCGGTATTTTTTTACTACTGACTTTTTTCAGATGCTTTTTATGCATGAAAAACTTATTCCTTTTTCTTCGTAATTTATACGTACATAACTCATAATAAGTTAATCATTTTCCACGGAAAAATACTTTTCAGGACGAAAATCTTATCATTTTACCATGGAAAAATATTGCGGATTATTTTTGGAGCTAAACTCAAATTTTGAAAATTAAAAAAATTAAAAACATTTTTACCATGTTTTTGTGACCCGTTTTCATGTAAAAAAAATTAAAAATTATTTGAAATGAAGCTCGACATTGAGTAATTAGTATTTTTTTAAATTTTAATGTGTTTCTTATTTAGATACCATCTGGGATTGTATGAATTCTTGTAAAGTATCTGTAATATTTCTCATTTCTTAAGCACATTGTTAATATATCTTCGAATTTTCCTTTTTTATAGCCTGATGATGAGGGCAACAATATCTTCGAAACTATTGTGATTATAAACAAATTACAAGATGTACATGTAGTTGAATTACTTATTAAGTTGTATCTACAATAGTTGATGAAGGTCTGTTCCAAATTAAAGGGACAAATTATGAACATACATATTAAAAGCATACAAATGAAAGAG